TGTTCTCCTTGGAGAGAAGAAGGCTGAGAGGGAGATCTGTTAGAGGTTTTCAACATCATGAGCGGGGGCTGGACAGGGTAAATAGGGAGAAGCTGTTCCCACATGTAAAAGGAACAAGAATGAGAGGGGAGTGGATTTAAAGTGATGAAGTGAGGGGGATGTGAGGAGAAACATTCTCACCCAGTGAGTAGTTAGGGTGTGGAATGCACTGCCTGGAAATGTGGGGGAGGCAGGTTCCATTGAGGCATTCAAGAGGGGCACAGGATGGTTATTGGGATAGAAACGGTGTGCAGGGACATTTCCGCAAGGAAAAGGCAGGAGATTGACACTAGGGGATAGAACAGGGTGCAGGTACGATGGGCTGAATAGCCTCCTTCTGTATTGTAACAATTCTGTGACTCTGTGATTGGAGAGCTTCCCCTGTAAATGGCAATTTGAAATGTTTTGTGTCATTCTGTACAGATAGCAGCACAAATGGTGACGTTGTTACAAGGTATGATCCACAGCAACTCCCCCCAGAGAACTCCCCTTTCCTAGAGAGGAATTTTGTGTGCAAAATGCGCTCGCTCCTCAACAGCCCCTCTGGCTACATGGTAAGAAATATTTCAATGGTGCTGCATTTAAAATGAAAAGCTTCTGGTTCAATGGTTCATTCATGAGGGGCATTGGATGGTTATTTGGACAAAAACAGTGTGCCAGCATATGGGGGAAAAGGGTGGGAGATTGGCGCTGGGCAATGATGCTCCTTTGAAGAGCCAGTGCAATCTGGCTCTGGACCAGTCATTTTTATTTTGGTCGCAGACTTCAGGGGCCTTGCTAAGAGAGTAAAGCCACTAGATTACATGATTTTGCACAAATAACAATGTCCCTACACAGAGTCAGAACATTAATGCAATCTACAAAATATAAAAACATAGAAACGAGGAGCAGGAGGAGGCCATTCAGCCCTTCGAGCCTACCCCGCCATGCAATATGATCATGACTGATCATCCAACTCAGTTCACTGTTCCAACTTCCTCTCCGTACCCTTTGATCTGTTTAGCCCTAGGAACTGTATCTAACTCCTCCTTGAAAACATTTAATGTTCTGGCCACAACTGCTTTCTGTGACAGAGAATTCCATAGACTCTCCACTCTCAGGGTGAAGACATTTCTTCTCATCTCAGTCCTAAATGACCTGCCCCGTATCATTAGACTGTGACCCCCTGGTCTGGACTCCCCAGGAACATTCTTCCTGCATTTACCCTGCCTAGTTCTATTAAAATATTATAGGTTTCTGAGATTACCCCTCATTCTTCTAAACTCTAGCGAATATAGTCCTAACTGATCCAGTCTCTCTTCAGACATCAGGATCTCAGGAATCAGTCTGGGAAAGCTTTGCTGCACTGTACTGCCCTTTTCAGCAATGAATTGCACACCTTGTCCTTTGGGTGCAAATATTCTCAATTCCCCTTTTAACACTTCAGTCAATTTATGTTAAAATTATATCCCCTGGTGCTTGAGGTCTCTGCTCAGGGAAATAGGTCCTTTCTGTATCTACTCTATCTAGGCTCCTTATCATTCAATGGATTTACTCAAGTCACCTGATTGTCGCTCTTGCATGGTCTTAGAGTGTGACTGTATAGGTCTGAGGTCCTCTTGTGGCACTGTGGTAGTGCCCCTACCCAGCGACCCAGGTTCAAGTCCCACCTGCTCCACTGGTGTGTGATAACATCTCGGAGCAGGTTAATTCAGAAAAATAGATTAAATGAGTTTTTAAAAATATTAAATGCACACCCCTTTGTAATGTTGCTAACTGTCACTAATAGCAGCATTGAAAGTGGTGTGGCGTCAGTGGGAAGTGATACATCATTTCTGTTTGAGACGATTCTGAGGGTTTGTGCCCTTTCATGTAAGGAGTCAGTTAACAAAGTTAGGAAGGAAAATGCGTTTTTGTTCGTTCGGTCTTTCAGCAGTTTGCTGCGACTCGTGGAGAGCTGTTCTGGAACAGAGCATCCTCCTAGCATAAGGGCTAATACAGGACAGCCCAGTGTTTCACCACTTGTTACTGAGTTGCTCTACATAATTCTGGTTTTGAACTGCTCCTGCTTTAATTGATACCATTGTTCCCTTTCCTTTTTCTCTCCGATGTGCTCAGGCTCTAAACATTAAAGGCAAACTGAAGTACCTCTATGGACAGAACAAGTGGGCAGAAGATGGGTCTCTCCTACCTCTACAGCTGGCACTCTTTGCCATTGCCACTCCCCTCCAAGTGCCTTCAATCCTTGAAATCAGGACCAGAAGTGCCCTGTTTCAGACAAAACACAAGCTCGACTTTTCACCTGTTGCCTGTGACGCAAAGTAGGTTGATCCTCCGAGACCCCCTTTATATCGGCATCCATGTATTGGGGTGGTGGTACAAACCAGTCCTTTTACAAAGGATTAACTGATCTTAGAGAGAGGCACAGAAATGGGAGCGGAGTATTTGTGAGGTGCTGCAACACAATTTAGAAGTAAGGGGTGCCTCATTAAAAATGGAAGTGAGGAGGATTTGGTTTCCCTTGATAGGATTGTGAGTCTTTGGAACTCTTCCCTGGGAGGTCGTTGAATATTTTTAAGGCAAAGGGAGATAGGTTCTTGATGAACAAAGGAGGCAAAGTTTACTCGGCATAGGCGGGAATGTGGGGCTGAGGCCACAACCAGTTCTGCTACGGTCTCATTAAATAACAGAGCAGGTTTCAGGGGCCAAACTGAGTGCATTATGTTGAGTGGATGTTTAAATGTAGAGGGGGGGCAATGGCCAAGTGGTATTATCGCTGGACTGTTAATCCAGAGATCTGGATAACATTCTGGGGACCTGGGTTCGAATCCCACCATGGTAAATGTAGGAATTTGAATTCAATAAAAATATCTGGAATTAAGAATCTAACGATGACCGTGAATCCATTGCTGATTGTTGGGAAAAACCCATCTGGTTCACTAATTCCCTTTAGGGAATGAAACTGCCATCCTTACCCTGGTCTGGCCTACATGTGACTCCAGACCCACAGCAATGTGGTTGACTCTGAACTGCCCTCTGGGCAATTAGGGATGGGCAATAAATGCTGCCTAGCCGGCGATGTCCTCATCCCGCTAACGAATAAAGGAAAAAAAAATCACAAACTGGATTCTGTTAATGGGTAATGGTTCATAAGCTGCCTCTTCTTCGATGGCAGGCTTTGACTGGCAATTCTGTGAGAGAAGTAATGGAAGTAGAATGTTGAACCCCACCCCCCCACAACCTTCTCTGTT